AAAGCCAAGGAATAGACGTTCATGTCAGCCCATGGAACATACTCCAAAATAGATCATATCCTAGGATACAAACCTCAACAAAATTAAAAGAATTGAAATTATACCTTGTATCTTTTCAGACCACAAGGCAATAAAGGTGGAACTCCCAACAAAATTTTCATCCCCACACAAAGCCATGGAAACTAAATAACCTTATACTGAATGAATGATAGTTGGGTCAAGGAAGAGATAAAGGAGGAAATCATTAAATTTCTCGAATATAAAAACAGTGAAGCTATAAGCTACCAAAACTTGTGAGACACTGCAAAAGCAGTTGTAACAAGGAAATTAGTCACATTAGGTGGTACATCCAAAAAACAGAAAGAGAAGACATCAACAAACTAATGAATCACCTTAAAGAAATGGAAAAGGAAGAGCAATTTAATCCCAAACCTAGCAGAAGAAAAGAAATAACCAAAATGAAATCGGAAATAGATGAAATTGAAAACAAAAGAATCATTTAGAAAATTAATGCAACAAAATTGGTTCTTCGATACCCTCAATGAATCCACAACAACAACAAAATACAAAGTGGGTTATAAACCTTTGGCCAGATTGGCCAGAAACAGAAAATAAGATCTCTAATAACCTCAATCTTAAATTAAAAAGGGGAAATAACAACAGATACCACAGAGATACAAGAGATTATATCTGATTACTACAAGAAACTCTATGCCCAGAAATTTGATAACGTGGAGGAAATGAACCAATACCTGCCACCATCCCATCTTCCTAGATTTAACCAGGAAGAAATGGATCTCTCAAACAGACTAATATCAAGCACTGAGATTGCAGAAACAATAAAAAAGCTTCCAACAACAACAAAAAAAGCCCTGGACCAGATGGCTTCACATGAGAATTCTATCATACCTTCAAAGATAATCTTGTACCCATACTGCAGAACCTATTCTAAAACACTGAGAAGGAAGGATCCTTCCCTACCTAACACATTCTATGAAACAAACATCACCCTGATACCAAAACCAGGAAAGGGCCCAACTATAAAGGAAAACTACAGAGCAACTTCACTAATGAATATAAATGTAAAAATACTCAACAAAATTTTAGCTAGCAGATTATAGCCACATATTAAAAATTATACATCATGATCAAGTAGGCTTCATCCCAGGGATACAAGGCTATTTCTCCTTTTGATTTTAATAAAGGTCATTCTTTCATCATGGTTTACCTAATATTTGGTATATTGGCTTAGTTATTTTCTGATAATCAGTGAGCAAATGAGTGCTAATCTTTATATTAGGTTTAAATTGACTTTAATGAATATCATTATACTATGTAAGTGAAAAACAATATTTTGTTTATTTAGTTCCAACATATTCTTCACATCCATTAATCGGTGGAAAGTTTTTCTCTGGTCTCTGCCTACACAGTTGTTTTGTGTCAGATGTGTCCAGATCTTGCCATTCTGTAACTACAAAATGAGATGATATTTAGTTATGAGATTCTTTTGTACATAATAAAAAAGTTAAAACAACAGTGGCTTAATCACAGATGGGTGTATTTCCTTCCACCTAACAAGTATGTGAATGTCTGGAGTCCAGGGCTGTGTGGCCACTCCACAGTAATCCATGTTTTTACAGAAAGAATAACCATCTTTGTGTAGTGACCTGGTCCAAAAGAGCCTCAAGAGCTCGAGACATGGGTGGCAGCAGGAAAGAAGGAAAGGTCTCAAAAGCTGTACCACCTAGTAACTTCTGCTGTACCCCATTACCCAAACCTAGTCACATGGCCAAACCTTGCTGGAAGGAGATGAGCTTTGAGATAATCTTTTAGCTATTAAAATTAGTATTCTGTTCGGAGGAATAGGGGAAGAATGGTACACGATGGTCAACTAGCAGTTCTTCTAAAATATGTGATATTTCATCTTCCTGACTGAGACAGTGTCAAGCACTGTAGACGCTCACAGTGTGGACACAAAGCTCCTGTCCTCCGTCCCACAGGCCTGTCAGGAACAGTTTAGCACATGTCTTCCCTTCCCTTCTTTTTGGTGTGTACACCAACGTATGTTTTGTACAAAGATAGAATTACACTAGTTATACATACAGCTCTGTAGAGAGGTATCAGTGCTGTAGGTTTTAACGCTAGCCTGGATTTCCCAGCGTGAGCATAGTTAGCAGGAGGGCAGTGAGGGAGGGGCTGCCTTGTGTACTCCAGGTCTTTAGGACCATTCCTGCCCTGTACCGCTCCATACCAGTTGGGACGATCAAAAATGTCTTCAAACTGCACCGTATGTCCTGTAGGGACCAAAATCATCTCGTTGAACCACCACACAGCCCTTCTGTTTCCCTCCTCCCCTGCCTGTCAAGGGGAAAGCTTGTTCTCACAGGGACAACCTCACCTGGGACACTGGAGGCTCAGTGGGGTGGTGGCTTACTGTGGGATGTCAGAGCCTAAGGTGGCTGAGGAAAAATAGCTAGAAGTGCTTGCTTCAGCAGCACATATACTAAAATTGGAACAATACAGAGAAGATTAGCACGGCCCCTGCGCAAGGATGACACGCAAATTTGTGAAGCGTTCCATATTTTTTGGTTTATCTTACAAGGCTACAAGTGAATCTTTCTAAAAGCAGAGTATGAATGTCTCAATAACTAAGAAAATGACGTGAAGGCTATGTTAACCAGTTTGATGAGAGTATTTCAAATTGTATATGAAAACACCGCACTGTACCCCATGATTGCATTAATGTACACAGCTGATGATGATTTAATAAAAATAAAACTAAAAAAAAAAGAAAATAGCCAGATGTGGGCACAGCCTGGCTTGGGATGTTCCGAGCTTGAGCCAGGACAAAGAGGATGTCCATGTTGGAGAGGTGAGGACAATCCTGGCCAGAAACAGTGTTCTCCAGTTACATGACTGAGGTCCCGTTTAGGGTGGTTTCCCAGCATCAGGGCTGATCCACGTGGAGCTCCACTCCCACCCTGATGATTTAATGTCTGTTACAGCACATCGTTAGGAATTTATTGTCTGATGTCTCTATTTAGAACAGTTTTATTAATGGTAGAAGTAGCTAGACCAAGAACATAGCTCACAGGCATCTGATGTTTACCTGCTAAAACCATTAAAATAATCTTGTGTTTGTAAGGCTCTAGCAAACAGACTATTGAGGCAAAGAAACCAGTAGAAGAGTATAAATATGTTGAGATTTTATTATATAAATTTTTTGAAAACGAAACTTACTGTAGTGCTAAGGTTAGGCTTGTATTTACCCTTAGTGAGGAGGGAGGGCTGTGTGAGGGGGAGGGGAGGGCTGCACAGCGCCTGCTTAGTCTGGGGCAGTTACACTCACGAAAGGTCATTATTAGGCTGTGTGCTTATGATCGTGTCTTTTCTGTCCCTGTGTTAGCATGAAAACGTTCACCCCCTCATCCCCTCTTTTTCCATACCTAGAAGATAGTTAAGCTCACTCTTGTGAATCAAAGGGTAACGGTCAGAAAATGGACTGTTAGAGGCTGAGCGGCTGTGGTGCAGACCCGGCGAGCAGGCTGGGAGAGACCCTGATGGGAGCAGATGAAAGGGCTCAGGACCACAGTGGCACCCAAGTGGCAACACGTATTGATGAAGTCACCCTGTATGGTGGTTACTTTACCTTTCCTGAGGACATGGTGCCATATGAGGTCCCATGGCAGTGAGGACAGCTAAGCAGAAGGCAGCTGAGATAAACTGACAGAGGTGCAGAGAATTGACACAGTGGGATCATGAAGAGGGGGGGAGACAAGTGTAAAAGCTGAATGAAGAAAGTGGGTCAGAACACCCCAGGTGGGGACAGCATAGGCAGGCACAGGAATAAGACCCGGCACAGTGGACTCTGGAAAGCACAGGGCCGTTCACATCATCGCAAGGACTCCAGCACCTCCCCTAGTGCCGGTTCACGGGGACTCCTGGATGCCAGTTAGATGGCTGTGTGCCTGAAGGAGCGTCGGGTGTGTGAGGGGCTAGTCAGAGGAGTGATCAGGAGGAGCCCAGAACCATCCTGAGAAGCTTAGGGTTTGTCTGGAAAGCAGTGGGGAGCCATAAAAGAATTTGAGTATTAGAAAAATGTGGAAACAGCCTAAACAAGTGTCCACCAACCCAGGAATGGATTAACATGCTGTGGTAGATGTGTGCCATGGACTACTGTTTGGCCACTAAAAAAGATGGAGACTTTACATCTTTTGTATTAACCTGGATAGAGTTGGATCACATTCTTAGTAAAGCATCAGAAGGATGGAGAAGCCAGAATCCAATGTACTCAATTCTAATATGAAGTCAGAAGAGCTAATACAAGGAGAGGGGTAGAGGAATGAGCAAGTGGGGAGGGGGCGGGGGTGGGAGGTCACGGTGTATAGCACGGGACGCAATTGTAAGAGGGACTTTAACAAATGCAATTAGTGTAACCTAATTCTTTGTACCCTCAATGAATCCCAAATAATAAGAAAAAATTTTTGAGTATTAGAAAAACTTATTATTTTAGAAAGATTCTCTAACAACTCTGTAGAAGATGCCATCTCATTCTCGTTGTTCCTGCATACTAACTAGGAGCTCATAACCTCCAAGGTGGCCCTGTTAGTATAACACACTAATACCACACTCTTTGTAAGTGCTATTTCTGAGATGATTCAGTATTCTGAGCTACTGGAAATCACCAGAGCCTTGCATAAAACTCTTCTTAACCACTTGGTCAGCCAGGTTTTATTGTCAGGGTCTCAATTATGTGGATAGCTATTTAGCTACCTTTCTAACCCTGAGATAACTTTTAGGTGTAATATTTAACATAAGTAAAATTATATGCTATAGAAAGATATATACTCTGGCTTAAAAATTGGACTTTAAAACTTTAAATGATTGTGTTAGGTCAAGAAAATCTGTTTTTGCAGCATTAATAGCTAAATACAGGATTGTAGGTACTGTGTCTCTTTTTAGGAGGTCAAATCCTAAAATGTGTGGATTTCTCTTTTCAGAGGCTGATAAAATACCAGTAATGCGTGGACAGTGGTTTATTGATGGTACTTGGCAGCCTCTGGAAGAAGAAGAAAGTAATTTAATTGAGCAAGAACATCTCAGTCGTTTTAGGGGTCAGCAGATGGAGGAAAATTTTGATATTGAAGTGTCAAAATCCATAGATGGAAAAGATGGTAAGACCAGTTAATACATTTAATATATTCTATAAACCAGATAAATTGTTGATAAAGTTTAGAGTAGTTCATAAGTCTGATGTGGTAATTTCAGGAAGGTTAGAATTTATAAAATTTGTTTCTTTAAAAATATTCTAGAATCAAAAACTTATGAATTTCTGAACTAACTCAATTTTTATTTGACTTAATAGTCTGTTCAGTGGTGTGACACAGCACGGTTTACTGTGAACACACACAATGTTATAATGTACCCCCTGAATTAGTAGTCCTTTGTGGTAGTTTTTTAGTTATCAAAGCAAGTTGAACTTACCAAAAAATTTCTTGTCCTTATATCAAAAGAACAGTTTTGTAATATTTTAATGTTGATTCTTTCCCTGAAGTTAAAAACAAATAATTACTTTTGTATATCTCTTATCTGCCTTCCTATTGACAAACATATCAATTTTTAATCTGAAACAATCTACCCTTAGATTTCCTTATTCAGCGTTTGGGTATATTTGCAATAGTTAAAAATATATAATCGCCAAGATTGCCATGTTTTCATTATGTATCTGAATCTTGAGTAAACTTCACAATGATGTGGTCAACTTAAAAATACTTGTATTGTCCCGTTTACTGCAGGCAGTGTGATGAGCTATTCTGGTGAGTATAACTGTACAGGTAGATTAGAATTTGTAGATTTCTCTAAAATTTTCTCCTAAAAGTGTTCCTCCCTCCATGCTTGCCTTTCCCTGGGAGGTTTCTTGGCAAACCCTCACTAATCCAGTGAATTAAAGTGAGAATTTCCCCTTCCCCTCAAGCAGAGCAGCTCGGTAGCGATCAGGTAATTCACCGAAAGCGGCTGAAAAAATAAATTATGAGATTGGAAGTAATTATTATAACATAACTAATGACAAAACCCATAAGCTCTAAACTGGCTGGGGAATTGCCCTTCTCATTAGTAAAAGCCCACATCTTCCCTGCCCCCTGCTCTGGGCTCGCTCTCCTCTCCCTGAGGAAGCCGTGGTCAGCTTGCACCACGGCTACTGTGTCTGGGGGTCAAAAGCCCCCGAAACTGAGGAGACTTGTGACTTCTGAATAAATTGGCAGCTAGTCTAAGAAATGTGTATAGCAGTAGTTCCCTGTTACGAGCCAGATACTCTAGGAATTTCAAATATACTGTCTACTTTCCTGATCAGTAAATTATGTCCTTATTCCACTGGAAATTCCAAGCTGAAGTTTCTTAAATATCGGTATGTACGGAGCAGTTCCGCATAAGACCTGGTGCAGCCCCGCAGATGGCCAAGGAATCAGGATGTTTCCATTTTCCTCAAAGTGCTCACATTTAAATAAGACTAATAGAAAAACATTATTTATTTGTGTGGCAGATTTCTTTCAAATGTCTCTGCGTATGTGGGTGTGTGTCAATTCTAGAGTATCAAACTAGGATATTATGGTAATATTTGTGTTATCTTTAAGGGTGTACATTGGTAAATTTTTAATTTGTAATTGAAAATTGTTAAACTGTTAACAGTTTGTAATCTTTCACAAATGATGATTCTTTGGGGTTCGTTAGAAGAAAAAATTGATTATTTTTATAATGTACTATAGTGTACAGGTAAATATTTGGCATATTTTATTACTGACAAGATAAGTTCAATTGAGTATCTATACTGTTGTCATGATTGTTAATTGTTTTTATTATTCAGCATTATATCAAAGATGTAACATTTGACCCTGAAGATTATGGGAAATTTCATAGAACATAGAACGGTAAATTTTCATTTATGGTTCAAAAAGCTACCATTGTTGGAAAAATAACCTCAAACTTACCTTATCTACAAAGATTTTAAAATATTAAAATATTTTGATTATTTTGCCCTTTGCTCTAAATTTTCTCATGTATAGATCATAAAGTCTGGACTCTAGACAGTTTCTACCTGCAAGCAGTATTTAAGCTACGAGAGTGGACGCAGCTACATGAGAACAGTTAAAATAAGTGTAGGACAAAGGAGTAAGAACAAGCTAGCTCAGCAGACGGTGGGTGTCACACCTGCTGAGGTCTTTGGAGGGTCTCTCGGGTGTTTGGAGAGAGTGAGTCATCACAGCACAGTGCAGTTATCCAGATATGGCTTTCTGGAAAAGTCCCACTTAGTGATTAAAAACAGTTTAAAATATTGCATCAGAGACTTATTAAGTGGTCCAGGGGATTTCAAAGAAACTAAAGAATTCTTGCCTTCAAGGACATTAAAATAAATAATAATTTCCTTTTTCCTCTGACCACATCTGGTTTGGGTAGCTGTTGACACAGAGATTGGATGTAGAGTCATCCCTTGGTGCCCCTGTAGAGTTGGTTCCAGGATGTCCGCTGATGCCAGAATCCGAGGATGCTCATGTCCTCTATGTACATGACACAGGACTCAAACGTAACCTGTGTCTGTCTTCCCCTATGCTTTAGATCAGGTCTGAGTTATTTTTAATATAAAGTACAGTGCAAGTAGTTATATATTATAATGGTTTTTAATTTATATTTTTTGTTATTTTTTTGTTGGTTTTTTTTCTTTTTCTTTTTTCTTTTTTTTTCCTGAGACAGAGTCTGACTGGGTAGAGTGCTATGGCATCATAGCTCACAGCAACATCAAACTCGTGGGCTAGAGCGATCCTCTTATTTCAGCCTCCCTGGAAAGCTAGAACGACAGGCCTGTGCCACCATGCCCAGCTAGTTTTTTCTATTATTAGTAGGGACAGAGTCTCTCTGTTGCTCAGGCAGGTCTCAAACTCAGGAGCCCAAGCAATCTGCCTGCCTGGGCCTCCCAGAGTGCTGGGATTGCTTACAGCGTGAGCTGCCACGCCCGGCCTTTTGTTGATTTTTTTCCTGAGCATTTTTGATCCACCGATAGGGAGTGCCTACTGTACTTAATATTTTACTCCTTATTAATCTTCCTACTAATCTCAAAATGAGCATTGAATTGAAGACACTGACAGAAGTTTAGTAGACTGTGAAACTCTTTTTAGGATGTAAATAAAGATAGCGAATTCTTTTTTGTTATTTATAGTTTAACCTAAGTTTAGTTCTCTCACAGTTAAAATGAAAATTGATTGCCTACTCACCACACTTAACAGGCTAGGAGATGTGTATCTAGCAGTTTCCCAAATGAAAGCCTGTTGTTTCACTGAGAATGAATCAAACACAGAAAATCAGGCCTTCAATTAAGTAATTTGTAAATACTTAAATCTGGCACTAGCTTGCCATTTCCCTCATTCTGCAGCCTATCCAAGCACACAGATAATCAGTAAAAAGGTCGGACTGAGTGGGCTAGTGCTGCACGTCAAGCTGGTCAAAAACTGCACACCCTCAATCCAGTTGTGAGAAAACCGCAGACAAACTCACACTGAGAGCCGGTCTGCGAAATCACTGCTGAGCCAGAGCGAGGATCTCCCCAGGGAAATGCAAATCAGCCGGCATCTGGGTGGTGCCGGCAGCCCCAGCTACTGGGGAGGCTGAGGCAGGAGGAGCGCTTGAGCCCAGGAGTTTGAGGGTGCTGTGAGCTGTGGTGCTACGACACTCTAGCTTAAGCAACTGAACGAGACTGTGTCTCAAAAAAAAAAAAAAAGAAAAAAACAGGATCATGAAAGACAAGGAAAGTTTGAGGAATTTATTGAAGATTAGAGCAGCGGTTCTCAACCTGTGGGTCGCGACCCCTTTTTAACAATGAAAATACATTGCGGCATTAGGAAAGTCGAGAACCACTGGATTAGAGGGCGCTAAGGAGGCATGATTCCAAATGCAGTGTTACCCTGAAGTGGGTTTCAGAGCAAAAATATTAGCGGAAAAACGAGGAATCTGAGTAAAAAGTATATATTAGCTGATAGTATTGTACCAACATTAATTTCTTAGTTTTGATAATTACAGTTGTATAAAATGCTAACATTGGAGGAGGCTGAGTGAGGATATGCTCTCCTGTGTGTGCTACTTTCTGTTACATCTAAAATTATTCTAAATAAAAATATCTTTTAAAGCCAAATAGAGGAATTAAAAGGAAATACTAAAAAATGCTAAATTAACCTATTAAGAAACCAGAGAGAAGGAATGGAAAACAAAAAACAGAGTAAACAGAGAATCAAATAGAAAAATGACGGACCTAAGTTCACCCATATCTATAACGACAAATACATTTGTAAGTCTAAGTCAGCTACTGCTCAGACTGAAAGGCAGGGACTGACAGATTGGAGTGTAAGCCCTGCCTGCACTGTCTGTGCGAGTCACACTGTGAATATAAAATCATCAGTAGCTTGGTGAAAGAACAGAATTTTTACTCTCAAGACTAATTTGGAGTGCTGTGGCAACACAGGGGTTGGTGGCACTGTGAGGATCCATGCGGCTTAACAGTTTGGTGGGTAAAATGTATTCCTGTCACTTTTGCGGAATAAGAATAATCCCGCACTGTGAATGTAGCATTTTGGTTAAAAGGATGGCCCAGTTACAGGGAGGGCCTGGCCAACCTGTCTGAGCTAAGCTTTCCAGTTCTCTCTTTAGTTACTATTTAATTTCATGTAAATTTGACTTTATTCCTCTGAGGTCCAAGGAGGATTGGCTAGAGTTTTCTCATTGTAGCTGGCTGCTGCCCTGGGGTTGGAATTTTTCAAGTTGCCAGCTTTTACAAAAGGGAAGGTGGTTAGGTTTTTTGTTCTGGGGATTAGTATGTCATCATCATCAGAAGCCCAGTTTGCGATGCTCTCTTGCTTTCAAAATTATATAATGAAGAAGATTATAACGAAGAGATGAAGTAAGGAAATTTATTGGAAATATTTTTAATATTTTAAATCTTTTTCATTGCTGTATAAGAATTTACTATATAAAATGGATTAAATGTTAGCATTAATAAGCATTTACAGTTGTATGTAGAGTGCCTGTATACTTTTTGCTAATACAACATAAGACTTTCTGACTAAAACTTTATTTTTAAAAAAGGAAAAAGTTAAACAGTGCTCTCCAGCACGTGAATTTTCTTTAATGGAAATCTCTGTTTGAATTGACAGTAGACTCTCTTTTTCTCTCCTGGGTTTATGGTAGTAACCCCAACTCTACTACAGGGTGTGGAACAAATAGAACAACTTTTAAGTGAAAATCAGAATTAAGTTTAATAAGTAAAGAACCTTGTTTGATTTTTGTGAGAATGGGAATCTTTTAGTTTAGAATATTACAGGAGTTTACACGTTTTGGTTACATAGTTGCATTTGTATGTTTTAAATCAAAGTTGTATGATTGTGCCTGCTTCACCTAGAGAGCGTGTGATGTGCCCAGGGGGTGGACTGTGATGTGCCCAGCGGGTGGACTGTGATGTGCCCAGCGGGGGGGACGTCACCCCCAACACCTGCTTGAGCTCCTTGAGTTTTGGTTCCCTGGTGCACAGGAGGGCTGAGGAGCTGGTTCCATGTGGAGTTACTTTTTTCATTCTAATGTTGGGAATGTGTTTCTCTGTTTGGGGTGGAGGGTGAGAAAAGTGTTTTTATATGTATGTTGGATTTTTTCTTAATCTCTAAATTATGCCATTCTTTTAGAAAAGAAAGCCTTCATTCGTGTACTTCAGTAGCTGGAGGTGTTCATATAATTTTAAAATGTCATTTGGTCCATACTTTTCCCTTTTAGTAAATATGGAATTGATTCATGCTAATTTTATTACTAGATTTACAAAATCTCGTTTTTGTTCTTGAACGGTGAAGTCTGCAGTTTATGCCAGTGTGATCCACTTTGCTGTGTCAGCAGCTTTTTCCTAATGAATTTTTCGTTTAAACCTGTCTCCTTGTCGAAGTGGTGCGTCTTCGCCTCAGTAACTGACCAGAGGCACATGAAAGAAGAAACGTTTAAGTGAAGAAAATTGCTGCCGTTCTCACTGACCGTCTCTCTGTGACAATGAGTTTGTCACCAGGATGTAGTCTCTTGCTTTCAGTGCTAGTCCGTAGTTGTTAGAGCCCTCCCGGTACATAGAGGCACAGGTGCAAAGTGCGTCTCAGTTGCTTTTATTACACAAATCTTTGCATATTCTTCATCTGTGTACATACAACAGATTTGGTATGTTTTTAGTACCACACAGCAGGAATTACATATTTTTGTATTTGAGCAGTATTTAACCTTCGAATGTCACATTAATGTAGAAGGGAGTGAGGATGAAAATCAAAAGTACTAGAACATGAATTTGAACTAAATCATGAACATTCTGTAATATATTAATGGAACTGATAAGAAACTGAATTGTAACATTCAAGTTCAAGTGGATTTCTAAGTAATTGCCCACTTAAAATATAACGAAACTGATATATAACTAGCAAAATTTGGCAGGGAAAGTATTGACTCTAAGGTTATCTACTGATTTGCCAAATACCGAGTCTGTGCTGGGTCTGCCCTGCTGTCTGGTTCTCGCTCACGAGAGGTCGCAGCGAACATTCCTGCTAAGGACCTTTTTATTGTCATTACTAGCCTTCCCCAGAAAGACAATTAGAAGTAAAATTTCCAGTCTGATTTTCTTTCATTTTTTAAATTTTTTCCTAAAAGTTATATTTTTTAAGGTCTTTTAACAACTCGAGTTGTGAAAGGACTGTTTGTTTCTGAGGGAAGGCTCCGTGGCTCTCAGGCACTGAAGAGCGCCTGGCAGGGTGTGTGCGCGGCAGCTTCTCAGGGGCACTGGGTATTTAAAGTGGCATTCGATGCTTCTCAATTTGTGCATAAGCTGTTGGCTACGTCAGAGCCACAAATTTGGTGAGGTAAATAACCTTAGTGTTATAAAGATGGAATTTATTAATCTCTTAAGCATTCGAATATGCTGTGTTCTATTTTTTTTTTATTTCTATCTATGCAAAGGTGTGCAATGTGATAATCATGTAGCTGTCTTTAATAAGTTTAGATATCATTTGCCTTTTATCGTTTGGTTAAAGTAGAGCCTGTATTTGATGAGCATTAAATTAATGTTTTGCTTTACTGACTTTTAATTAGAAATTATATAAATAAAGCATTTAGAACAATGTTTGTCAAATACAACTCATTTTTTAAAGTTAACAGTACAACAGAAAGACAGAATGGCAAACCTCATTTAAAATTTACTTTGAAGCTCAGTGTTTTTGCTTTCTTAGTTGTCTACCACCTCCCTCCCTTCTCCCTCCCTTCTCTGTTCAAATGGAGAGGAAATAAGGAGAGTACAGATGCCGCAGGTCTTAAACGAAAGCGTTCCCAAGGTACAGTAATTGTAGTTTTATTTCTCCCTGTAGTTAGATTCCTGGTTTATAGCATTCCGTTGTGTAAAGCATAGAAATCATTAGTTTTTAAAGACTGTGTCCATTGTGCTATTAGCTTAGTGTTACTTGCGATAAGTGTATATAAACGTCTGTAGATGGTGTGCATCCCGGCACGGGGATGGTTTAAGGAGAAACAAAATTTTGCTGGCTTAACGCTATTCTGTAAATAAACCTTGTAGTTTCGATGTTTTAAGCAAATGTTGCTCGAAAGTATTTTAATGAATAGTTCATAGTTTAGAAACATTAGATTAAAAAGCTTAAAGTAGTGACTTGGATCAGATATGGAATTAGAAAAGCAAATTATTAAACCTTTACAAAAGATTTTTTTAATTTATGAAAAGTTTATTTTTATTTAAAAAGCTAATCTTGTACATTATTTTCTTGGGAGCTAAAGATACTGTTCATGTTTGTTATTAATCAAATCTTGTGTACAATGTTAGTGATGTCTCCTGGCAGGTAAGTAAAATATAAATTGGTTTTCCATAAATTTTTGAAATTGTATTTATAATATTACTAAGAAGTACATTTTCTCATAATGTACTTTGTATTCTCCTAAGGAATAGGTTTTCATAAAACTATCTTAGCATCCTGCATCTTGACCAGTGCCTGTATCTTTTTATATTTAGCTTGAAGTTACTTCAACCCGTCCTCAAAAAAGTTAGACTCTGCCAGTAACAGGCTTTGTAGCAAAGTCCATTAAATCTCAGTCCCTCCGTGTCTTTATGTACAAAATGGGGACAATATTTTGCCTTAAAAGGATTTTAAGAAAAAAAAATCAGGCATAGTGATTTGAAGGTGCCTGGCATATTAATTTGTTCTATCTATATACAGGAACAAAGAGGAAAATTTCAGCTTTCAGAATACAAGAGTTAGCAAATCAAGAATTGGTGATATGCTATGTCAGTTTTTTCAATTTACTGCTTCAGTAACGAACATTACTGAATTTATGATATGTGCCCGGCACTGTATTTGGTACTAAGTTACCAGAGTGATGGGGACAGCAGTCCCAGACTCACAGCCTCATGAATTGCTAAAGGCACAGGTTTGTTTTTAAGATGCAGTTTTCACCAGGAAGCCCCAGATACAGAAATGCAGTGACCATACTGACTTGAACATAATAGAAAAGCATGTCCTTAATTTTTCATTAATAAAACATCCTTTTATTTTGGATTTCTGCTATGATGAGTAATATCCAGTGGAAAATTGGTTTTACTGTCCTTTCCAAAAATATCGTATAGTGTCAAAGGTTATCATCTTGACAGTTTAAAGTGAATTTTTTTCTGAGTCTAGTTTTGTCAAATTTTTACAGGTTTTTTGAAATTTTTAGTAAAATCAACCAAAGAAATGGAATTTAAGTTTCTGTGTCAAAGCTGTTGAGGGTTTTCTGCAAGTGGGAGGAACACCTGGAGAGGCAATTCCCGGTCACGGGACACACCAGCTGCGTGTTAGTGGGGAATCACGGCAGCTAGGACAGCTCCTCTCTGCTGTTTAACAAGTCACCCTTCCCTGCACCTGGTTACTCATTTATAAAATCAGGCCTCTACCTATCAGTAACTTCACATAAAACTTACTAATAGAGTATTTTTGTTGCCCTGGGTCATATATCTGAGTTACTAGATAATAGATTGCAAATGTGAATATTATAATTTTTCACGCAAATGTTTGTCTTGGAGGACTTCAAAGTACTTTTCCCTTTTTGTAACAGCTATTCATAGTTTCAAGCTGAGCCGAAACCACGTGGACTGGCACAGCATGGATGAAGTATATCTTTACAGCGATGCAACAACGTCTAAAATCGCGAGAACGGTCACCCAGAAACTGGGGTTCTCGAAAGGTAACTGCTGAGTGTTACTGGGATGGGCAAAACTTTAGGGTCTGACTTTCTCCTGTATGCAAAGTAGACTGTTCAATTTCTACTTTTTGTATATTTTAAATACATATTAAATTTAGTGATGGGTTCCTTCTTAAATGAATTTTTATTAAAGTGGTTGGATTGACGTGTATGCATCAATGAAAAATTGTATATTTAGAATGATCTGGTAAGAGTAATACATATCTTTTATATTTACAAATGTATAAAGCAGTCAGATCTGAAGCAGTGAAAATAACACATGGCAAGTGTAGCATAGTGTCAGGGTAGAGGAGGACGGACAGTTCCCACGGGATTCTCGTGACACGGAGGTCACTGTTAACTTAGCTGGACTGATGGGGCAGAAGCCAAATCAGTGC